TAACCACCTGGCCATGCTGGGCCGCCGGGAAATGAACTTGGTGACTTTCATGACCGAGATACTATGCTAAATTACATATACCTGCAAATATGAAAGTTTTCAAAATGTTTATGTTAAACAAGGAGGAAGAATACATTTAGTATGCCTGCCTACAAGCCACAGAGCAAACATTTGTAGAGTGCACATAAAATCAATAAATTACAATCTAAATTTTTCATATATGTAAAACTAGTGATAAATTTCGGCTGATTAATGATGATGTTTTAACACAAAGCTTAACAATGGGTTATTCGCTCTCTGTCGACCACAGAGAGTCAAACCCTGGGTTTAGGCATTTTAAGCTCATATACTTACTATTGACATACCGAGGCACCCAAGAAATTATTAGTCACAATAATCACGTTTCGAGTTCGCGAGAGGCAAATAATTTCGATCATTTGATACATATTTACGACGCATAAATTTTCTGTCAATTTTATGAAATATATACGAATCACTAAACATCCTTCCTTTAACTTTAAAATAAGTATATTTTTCTTTTGTTATTTCACAATTGTTATGAAAAAAATTGAGTAATAAATTATTCAAAATGTTTATTTCCAATATTTTACAATAGCGAATTATTTATACCGGGACGGCGCTACTTTCATTATTACAATATAATTTTGCTGGTAAAATTGTTCTGTTTAAGGTTTTATGTATGTTGACAATTTCTACTAAAGAATTAGAATCATTATAGTGAGTTTCAATTTTTTTCAAAGTTTTTACTTACAACGTTAGCTTTCACTGACTTAAGTACTTAAGTTAGTAATCATAATTTAATATTATTGCAAATAAATGGTTTAGTTTCCACAAGCATATAAAACAATGGTTTTGCACTAGCAGCATTGAGAAGATGTTTCGTTATCGTGAAAACACACACTACATAGAATTAACACAATATTATATGCATGCAGCAACATGAATGGGCATTTATAGTATATGTTGTTTTCTTCAAATATTTCAAATGTGACTGAATTTTAGTAAAATTGTTAATTTCTTTTAAATAGACCAGCCTATGTGTGTGGCTAAGAATTTACCATGTCGCTCCTGTAAAACAAAAGTTCTACCACCAAAATGTGAATCACCAGGGGACAATAGTTTCATCAGCTATACGTATTGTCAAACTTAGTTGCCATATGATGCAAATCACTGGGATTTGTTTTTTTAAAAATCGCAGGTAAAACTAAATGATTAACCCTATCAAAGCATTTTGTGTCACTACAAAGTTTAATCCTGGATTGGAAATATTTTAATATTGATAGGTTCCTTTTCCCAAGCTAACTAAAGGAAACAGAAATAAAAGTACACGTGGAAAATATTTAACTATATAACGTTTTTTCATGCTAACTTTTAGAGTATTCAAATGTAACAGATCTCATGACATTATTATATCCCATTATTATTTTTAGTAATATGTAAAAGAAAAAACACATTCAGCAAACTTCAATTTTTGTTGTTGCTTTGAGATCTGAAAAGGGCTTGTTCTTTTTGATGATTCTATCGGTTATTTTCAAAGAACCCCAAAACGTTAGGTGACTGTAATAAAGGGAGTTCACCAATACCAAGTGCCAGGCATAAAACAGCGCACAGTAAAATAATGTTTCATAAAGTTCGAAACTGCCGCGTTTATTGCAACTTAGTTAATAACGTAGATTTCTGTTTAACAAGTTGTAAGAGCAACTTTTCTTCTTCCAGTGATTTTATAGTAATGTAAATGTTTACTGTATCTGCGTTTTAATTCAATAATGATATTAAAGATCAACAACTCCGTGGTAAAAAAAATATTGATGTGTATTGGAAGATACAGTGATTGATTATTAATAAATATCTGCGATTTAGAACGTGAAATGAATATAACTCACTTCTCCTACAACTATAGTGACTACCAAATGTGACCCATTATATATTTAATAATTATAAACATCCCGATTATTTTATCTCGTGTATGTAGACTCGAGAACATTTTGAAAAGATGTAAAAGAGAAGTAAATTTCTATGGTGTGAACACCTTTAGCTAGAGAAGCATTATTATATTAAAATATATTTTTGAAAGTCAATATTATCAGATCTGCTGTATTTTTAAATACTACATTCTATGTTCGGTCCCATAGAGTTTCGAAAAAGAAGAGATAAAATTTCAACCACAAATGTTAGTGACCGAATATATAATTTAAAGTTTTTAAAAAACAGAGGTTGAGTGAGTTTATATTAAACGATTTTTGAGCCTCACCACGTCGTTACAAGTCCATGTCGCCACGTCTGGTCATGCTCTGTCTGACAAGCGTGCATGTTGACAATAGTCCTACAGCGTAGATTCAATTACAAAGGCTCCGCCTTAAGACTGTCATGTTCGAAGAACATCACTTCTCCCGAAAGACTATCCATAATCTATCTAGTCTACGGGGTCGATGATTTCACAACGCTCATTTGAACAGTCCAACCACACAGAAATCCATAAGCGACTTGCTGGTATATATTTGTATGGAATAAATGAATACTCGTCTCATTCTATAGCTGCTTGAGGTAAGCGACGATTGATGAGGATGTATAACTGGAAGCCTCTTATTGGTGAGCCCATACTCTGTTAGCCTCGTTTCAAGATGAAAATCCTTATTGATTATGCTGTGCCTTGGATATATGGACAGATTTTGCTACCGACCTTTGTGTTCTTGGATTCTCATCTGCTACCAGACGCCGCACTTTGCTTAACATTGCTGGGGCATCACTTGTTGCAAATCTGTTTCTGAATGGTCCTGATTTCCCAAGTTGATCCATATTATTTCTTTTGTTTTCCATTATCATTCTATAAAAGGGTTATACCCTTGTTGGAAATTCTAAATCTCCAATCTACAACACATTGTTATGATACGACTCATATTAGTGTATGAACATTTTGCGTAAGAAAACGCTGTTACATCCTATTTACCAAAGCGATAATGCTAAGTAATGTCTACGTGTAGTTGTGATACATTCCGTTTCACTGCGACTTTATATGGGTTGTGGTTGTAACGTGTCTTGTTGATTGGCATATTCAAAATAGTTTTAATATAACGTAGTCAACCATCTGTAGTAGAAACAGAGATATTTCATAATTACAGTGTGTGTGTGTGTGTGTGTGTGTGTGTATATTCCCTCCCAAGCATATGCACATAAAAAGTACAGAGTACGCTTTTGAGAAAAACGCCCGAATGCAGTATCTCAAACAATGAACAAATGCCCAATTTTCAAGTGATTGTATATCGGATAACTACTTTTACAAACACTTTAAAAGCCTAAAAAAATCTATCTAAAATGTTTATGGCACATTAGGTAATCATTCCAAATATAAAGACCATCTTTATCCTGTCGTCACAGCAACATTTTCCGTTAGAGTAGATTCAAGACAACTTAGGCGCACTATTATTAATATTTCAACTGTATATATATAGATCATTGCTTGCTAATTCAATTAATAGTTACTCTCGTCCATACTCATTCTACATTTTCTATAAGGAAGCGGAAAACATTATATTGAATAGTGTGTGCAATTTCGACTAATAACACCATTTTTGATACGAGAAATCAGCTTCAATAACGATGGCATATTCAACAAGTAAAGTAACTTTGTTTTACTAACATATGATTAGAGTAGTACTGCTGAGGTAAACAAGTAATAAAATCACGTTTCACGTAAGAAACCATCTACAACAAAGCTGGGATGTTTTAAACACCAAATTTCATGCAAATATGTTCACAAACGCAGAAAAAAAATAGTTATTTCACTAGTATTGTCACATTGACTAGCGAAATCACAAGAAAATCGAATCAGTAAGACTTTAAGTATTATCCCTCAAAGAGAAAGTTTGAGGTATGTAACCTTAAAATACATTACCCCCCCCCCCCAATAGAGTGTTAAGGTATTATATTTTACAAAAGTAAATAATTCCCTTTATGGGAAGTTATTTGTCTTAGTTAATATCAAATCGCGTGTGACATCTGTATTTGATATTTTGTGGATTCAAAATTAATTTAGCAACTGGACGAGGGATAATTTCGTAAATATGTCGTACTAGGAGAGGGGCTGATGCACGCTTCGAAAATGCACTCCGTAAACATTGAGCTTTTGTTAAAAGTCTATATACTCCAGAAACTCTCGTGACTTCTGTGTGATGTCCCAGTAAAATTAGGATCATCCCAGATGTTAGCCTTTTTTGTGCCAATCAGGCTCTGGTGCTCTGCCCACCACGGGTATCAAAACCAGGATTATAGCGTTGTCCGCAGACATACTGCTGTGCCACTGGGGGGCGTGCCGATCAGGAACAAAAATATTAGACTGCCTCAGGTTCTCATTCCTCAACGTTGGTTTGATATGTATGGTCTATCATTATACACAACTTCTTTAAACTTTATTTGGGGAACCACCCGACTGAGACAGGACGCACAGGAAAGTGATCCCCTCCGTTTTAGCTAAGTTTTTCTTAACCTATCATTGGACAGCCGAAAGAAACGAGATTTGATGACCTCCCTAGCCGCTAGAAAAAAAGCGAAGAAGTAACATTTTTCTTTTGAGTAGATTCAAGACACCTTAGGCGCATTATTATTATTATTTAAATTAGATAAGTTTTAACAGATTGTTTGTCCATGGTTTTTAAAACGCGATAGAATAAATATCGGATTATTTCGCAAATGGTAAAAAGTGTGTAATGTTGCAATGGCACTCTGTATGGGGAAAACTGTCTCAATTTTTCACTCTAGAAATCTGGTAAACAAAATTGTGAAGCGAAGAAGTGAATTGTTCAAACATGATGTTAAAGTGTGTGAATTTTTGTTTTAACTGAATACAATGATTACAATTAAAAATTAGGATTCCTTAATATATTTGTATAAAATAAATTATCTTAATTTATCTTAAGTATACACCATTAGTTGCCGTTTTATTAAAGCATTTTTTTTAAAGCAAGATTTTTTTGTTTGAAGGTATTCCATATTATATTTCCCCTTTTCTGTAATTAATTGTCCTTTATCTAAAATACATTGCTATAATTCAAACCATACCGTACTAATCCGTCTTTCCCTTCCATTAGGTAATCCAGAACTAGATAGCATTATCTTGTCGTCACAGCAATTCTCTGGCGGGTTCCCATGGCAACAGTAAATTATGGCGTTTTCGGTTGTAGTAATTGTTTCATATGAAGTACGTCCAGTGTCACTGCAAGTTCTATAATATGGGAGAAAACCACTGGGGAAACTTAAACCATTCTATACACTTTCCTAAACAAAGTTATTGTCAATATCTTTACCATTTTTGGCTTATTCCTAATTGTTTTTGCCACAAGTTACATAAAAACCCTGCCTGGTTGATATCAGATGAAGGTCTATCTATGCCTGGATAATATAGCATTATCTAACAGTGAGGAAATAGAAGTAAAATCCATTCAGTTGGAAACTTATAAAACAACGAATCCCTCTACGACAAGTTATTTAAAGTGGATGTCTTACTGCATATTGCACAATGCGCTCCCCCCTTCCCAAAAGTGATTAATAAAAACAATTAGATTCGAGTGCATTACTAACAATTTTTTAAGTTTATGAAAAAACAAACAAACAAGAAAGTTATAGTATATGACAAAATTCATTAAACGTTAGAAATACTTTATGACAACTGTATTTTAACTATCAAGATAAAAAAAATCTCGGAATATTTATTTGAGTTATCAGTCCATCAAGATCATAATTTTAAAATACGTACAAAAATACTACAAAATAAAACAAAGGCTTAAAATCTAATAACAATGAAGAAAGTGGTAAAAATTTATTATTTCCGAAATTTTAAATATTACACAGTACCTGATCTCAGGTTAACCTGGCGAAACCTTGACACCATTCAAACAAACAATACTCTTGTTCAACTTGTAATTTATGGATTGCATTTTTGAGGGTATTATTCGCCATGTAATAAAGTTTTAATTATGTACACTCTCAAAATATAAAAAGTTTGTTATTTATTATTTTAACAATATACAAACTTTTGGGTTAGAACCTTTTTCATGTAATAGATTTTTACAACTAGTGTAAACAAAATATGGCATATCTATGCAAACTATTTTAATTTCAAAAATACGCATTTCCTACAGTTATTGTGTGTACTTGTGTGTATGTATAATTTATATATGATAAATCTAGTCAAAAACACCGTACGTGTGAAAAAAAAGGTGTATCCACACACACACACACACACACACACAAAGGATCCAGTGTGGGACTTGAAAGAGTGAAATCAAAATTGGTGGCTAAACTCGTAGCTACACTTATAACATTTGTAAGAATTTTACAGCAAATATTCATTCATCAGTTAGCCAGGCCGCATTTTTTGTTCAACTTAGGGCATGATGGTGGGCAAAAACTAAATACGCGGCCTAGCTAACTAATGAATGAATATTGGCTGTAAAATTATCATCAATACTATAAGTGCAGCTTACCAGTATGACCGCCAATTTGATTTAATTTCTTTAAGTCCCACGGTCAAGGCGTTTTTGACCGTACCTTTTATTCACACTTATGGTGTTTTGTATTAGATATTAGGACTTTCTGTTACCACACCAACAAACCACAGCGAGTTAGAAAGTGACTGTCGATAGTAACCAACATTAGCTTTTGGATAGCAACCCTGTTATTGGGAACAGACCTACACTTTACAGAACCAACCAGATTCTTTAAAATATATGGTTGTAGTTTTCCTCTCTAAAACAGTGTTAATAACTTTCTTTATAGTAACGCCATGGAATCTAGATTAACGGTTTCTTGTCATCACCAGCATGCACACGGTACAGCCGTATCAAGCAGTATTATTTTAGCTAATTGATTAAGCTAATATCATGTGAAGCTAAACGTTCTTTAATTAGGAGAAATTCATAAAATTGATCAAATTCGTGCTTAAAAATTAGAAATGAATAACAACCGTTACCGTCCACCGAATGATTATATTTAGACCAAATTTGTAAAAAAATCCAAATAAAGTTTTTGTACTTTCGGTGCGAAGAAAAAATACAGAAAAGAAAGAACTTCAATCAGAATTGGAGATTTTATATCTCGTGTAATTCATAATGGATTGCCTTGAAATTTGGTATGTGAAGTCAGGGTACAGTAAATCACATTTTCTGAAAATATGTGATAGCATGGATTACCACAGTCTGAACTACAGAAAGTGGAAAATCGCCAAGCTACCACTCTTGTTAATAACACACAGTGCGTTGCTTTGGCCGCACGACACATTACCGTGTGTCTTGATATCAAAATACAATGAACATTGTTTCGAAATTATCATTATGCACACATCAAATTACCCTATTACATAAGAATTCTGTTACTTCGAAGATTTATCATCTTATACCTAAAAATTACCAAGCACAATCCTAAAAAAAATAAAGTATTTAGTAGGATAATAAGCGGAAATTTAATATAAATATATCAAGAAAACCTGTATTTTCAACGTTGACTATTGATCGAACCGGCGTATTTCCTCTGAAACACTCCTGCATCTGTTTCAGGTTGTTAAATCACAAATATACATTTTAAAATCAAATATATTATTGTTCTTATATGCATGCCATTTTACAAACTGAACCCCGCCCTTTAAAAAATTCTATATCCGTGCCCGACTGTGATGAAACTTGAAATTGATTTCTAATTTGTTATCTGTAAACTTATCAGGTTAGCTGTCGTTAATAATTATTGCCATTTTCTGAAAAAATATTAATCTGATGATAGCTTGGTAGCTCTAAAGCCTGATGGTTACTTTACTTGCTTGTATTATGAACTAGTGTGAGTAGGCCCACTGGAAGTCTTCAGCTCCAGGCCTCGTAGGCCCTTAATCCGGCCCTGCATGATCATACTTCGGCCAGCTAAGAATATTCCAGTTCTAAGTAGTTTTAACGCAGGTTAAAATTATACCAAAACATTCTTGCGAGCAAAAGACGTCATCTAAGAATAGAACAAAAGGGTTGAAGGGGCTAGAACAAGATAATATTAGACACCCTGGATACCACATATTGTCACCATGAAAGTGCGTAAACAAAATAATCAACAATCACAAAATAAAAATCATACCACTACATATGGTTTGCCTGCTTATCATATGAGTGAAAGCAAAGGGAAATGCTTGATGATCTGTCTGTAATATCTTCAACGTCCAATGCCGACGAGGCCTTTCGTTCAATACCAGAGCTCATCAGGTTGGTTGAGATCCTACAGACGTACTAGTCGTCAATGCACTGTTCATAACATCAGCTTCATGAATAAGAATTGTTTTGGTGTGAACCTGATTGAGTAACTGAATTATAATTAGTATCAATTATATTTAAGTGATCCCTGTATACTATTGAGCTAATTTACTGACACAACTATAACGCTAGGACATACCATATTTTATACGAACTGGAGGCTAATAGGCTGTGGATCCATCAAGTCAAAGTATCTAGCCATACGCCCATGTACAAATTGCATCACAAGATGCAAGTACAAACGGGAATCATTAGCGGATATTTTCCATGGGAATACACGTCTCCGAGTTGCTCTAATGAGTCCCTGGAAGTCGTCGTCCGTGCAAGGTTGGTGGACGTTGGAAAGTATGTAAAATGATGAACGACACTGACCCCAATGTATTGCGCAAAAAACTTCCTATAGTGAACATGCACGGCAACAGTCTAAAGTAGTGGCTATAACATAGAACATCCTCGGTTGTCGGAATGTGAGGTCTAGTCACTAATTCATGTATCGTTACCATAGATCTTTTAACACCCCTCTGTATGATCTTACACACTACACAACGTATTCTTGTATCGTTACCATAGATCTTTAACACCCCTCTGTATGATCTTACACACTACACAACGTATTCTTGTATCGTTACCATAGATCTTTAACACCCCTCTGTATGATCTTACACACTACACAACGTATTCTTAAACAATATAATCTAAAAAACAAACTAATAGATGGGTGATGGAAGAGAAACAACTACTTACAGTGGAATTTTTTCATCCATTTCGAACCCGTGACTAGTATTTTCTACTCCGTCCAACAAATCTTCCACGCCTTCCTGATGCTTTTTCCAGCCTATAAGAGCACGAATGTACCGAAACATTTTTTTCAAACACTATTCGATTATTAACAAAGTGGAGCAAATAAACTGGTGCATATGAAAAGTTTTAAACAATTATAGGCTATCACCAAATAAGATACATATCAAATTTGTCACCATTTATATAACCTTAGTGTCTCTACAATAGATAATGAATCTAGAAAGTAGCAGTATTTGTTTTTCCGCGTGTGGTGTATTCATACGCTTTTAGAACATGTATCATATTGATCTACGTTCAACCAGTCCGAGAACAGTTCTCTTCAACATTACACTCCAATCACATTTATTATAACAAGGAAGCTGACACAAGTTAAATGAAAAAGTATTATAAAATTCCGAAACCGGATATTACTACCACATTCAGACCATGCCGAATCTACATGTGAATGATCCACTACCTTCTATAGGAAACACCTTTTTGTACATCCGGCTCACAAAATATTTTTATAATAGAATAACATTTTCCCAAAGTTGGACGATCATTATTTTCTGTGTAGCCTATTGCACATTGGCATGGTTCTTAACTTACTTGTTTAACTGATGCACACTTCAGATAATACGTTGAACTGCGACATTTATAGCATTTATACAAAGTTCTTGATTTTATACTGTATGTTAATTTTCAATGTTTACACAGAATAATCTTACTCAGTTATTTCCATACATAACCGACTTTTAGCCGCCATAAGAATGATATGAAGAGCAGTTTGAATTATACCAACTTTCTACTTTGACCCGTGACCTTTTAACTTCGGCCCGTAAATCACTTCTGCGGCCAATAACAGTCTATTAATTAATCACGTGAAACACTTTAGAAGGACATCAAGAGCTGGCCATTTCTTTGACCGTTATCTCTTCCTACAAAGTCACCCTGACCATCGCACAATGTATACCACGTTTTAAATATATACATAGTGAATTCTTAAAGCTTGTAGAAAACATTTGGTGAGGTAATAATGAATAATATAGTAATATGTTATGTTATAAATAAATTGTATGAAATGTAGAATTTTTGTGTTACTTATCATAGCATCCATCCACACATATTTCATAACCCGGACAAAGGACTGGTACCTCAGCTTGTAAACAATAAAAGTCCGAAATATGTGATCAGTTACCAACTTGTGTAATTTTGCTAAGTTTACAGCTATTATTCCTACTCGCTTCTATTTTTAAATGCAAGTGGCGTCAAATTTTAGCGTAAGTAAGGTAGAAGGCTGTAGAAAGAGAGGTCGACCGCGGAAAAATGGGTCACAGATGTCACGGAGTGATTGCAGACTAGCTACGGTGATTGTGCGTGGAAGGCACAGGACAGACGGGCATGACGAGCGTTGATAGCTAATCTTCTGGGTGGAGCAGCCACAAGTAGATAAGATAATGTTGTTTATCATCCAGATGGGTTGAATATTCAGCTATGTGAAATGAATATAGATGTTTCGAGCAATACGAGGTATGAACCTAAGGAAAAAGCGCATATCAGCATTAGATAATGGTTAATTACGAAGATACCATCAAAGAAAGAAAACAGTTATACTAAAATAGTATTGTTTGTAACAAGAACAAATAAAAGTACCGTAACGCCTCCGTTCGTTAGTTAATTTTCCGTAAAAATTCTTTCCGATGAAACTTTAGCGACACAAGTCTTTTCTTAAAT